GGGTTTTAAATAATCTTGAAGGCTTCTAGCAGTATTTTAATAATTATTTATAATAATTTACCCAATTTTGTGATTTTATATTTAGTTATTTTAATAATATGACAACACCATATGGCTCTAAACCCCATATCAGCTCGGAAATCAAATTTAGTTCTGGGGAAAACTAAGAAAACTATGTTTTGAAATATAATCGAAAGAGCAAATGTTTTTTTTCAAAATGGAATGACAAATTTTTATGGGGTTCTTTGAATAATCTTGAAGGGTTCTAGCACTATTATAATAATTATTTATAATAATTTACCAAATTTTGTGATTTTATATTTAGTTATTTTAATTTTAAAGTTTTCTTACATTTTGTAAAAGCGTAAAAATCCAAAATCCCGCACATTTCTCGACGTCTGCTTAACCATTATATCACCTGCGTTATCTTAACCACTTACTCTATTATTGCTCGTCACTCACTCCACTTTACACCTCTATGTTCAAGGTCCTCCGATGCACACCACCCCCTAAACGCTTACCAAAACCAAGGTCACGCGTTTTATGTACCATGTACTATATTTGTATATGGTGGACAACCAGCTTTAACTGCCCAAACGTAACCGCAAAAGTTTGCCTGGTTTTAGAGGCTGTAGGTTTTCGCTTTTCCACTTTATCGCCTTTATCGCTTTTAAGGATTATCCCATTGTTTTTGTGTGGAAACGCCGGCCGGTGGACAAAAGTGCAGTAGTAGCTCTCTGTTTCAAAACAAAATACTCGGCTCCTCGGTTTTTTGTGTTCTTGGGTAATCGTTTTCTGGGTTTCGGTTTCTTGGTTTCTTGGTCCTCGTGGCGTGTTGCACGTTGCTGGAATGCCCGTGTGCCACTGGCAGCCAACTGTCGGCGACGTTTGCCGCCAATCGACCCGCCAGGCAGTCATCCACATCCACAAACACACATCCACACATCCTCCCATCCACTGACCCACCGCCCACCACCCACTGACCCACCGCAAGGAGGAAAAGCCCGGGCCAAAAAGGAAAACACTACAACTGTAGTACTGGTAGTACTAGTTGTACGGTAGTACTACGGCTCACACGGACACACACTCCTGTTATGGTGTACACTGTACCCAGTTCACATGGCGTATACGCAACGTGGACCCCGAGTGCGCCTGCGTCTGTTTTGATATGAAAAGACATTGTCCTCATCGCTTTTTTTCAGCTCCAGCGGATTGATGGGCTACGCACAAGAATTGGAGCCTTTGGGTTCCCAAGAAATAAAAAATCCCAGTTCTTAGAGAAAATATAATCTATAAACTTGGGTACAACAAACAGGTTTACCATGTTATTTTCACAAAATAGAATTCATAGAAGAACCTAAACTCTAAACGCCTTACTCATTGAATTTTCTTGCTTATTTTCAAAAACCAAAATGCCAGCACCAAAAATTTCAATGATTAAGTCTGAATTTCGTGGAGATTTGTCATAAATTTCGACTCATAACACGCATGAATCACATAAATTACGAATTTTGAGGTTTAAACTAATTGTATAAAGTCGTATGTTCCCTAGCTGCGCATTTTGGGTGCTATGAATCATCCCTATATACTTTGTATTGTAATATAATATTATATAATATAATTGTTTATCATTTAACGAATTCTAAAGAAAACCTATTGAGATTTAATTGTTATTGCTTAATAAATAAAATGAATAAGAAATTATAATGCTTACCTTACTGTAACACTTATCCGTGGACTTTTCGAAATAAATATAATAATTTCATTTTTTCAGACATCAAAGTAAACTATAAATAAATAAATAAAAAAATAAAAATAAAATAAATTTTAAATTTCTGATTTCCAATATATTTTATAAGTGGTTATAGACTTCATTTAATTAATTTTGTAGGGCACTTTCACAAAGTTTCTGGCCGAACCAAAATTGTTCGGCAACCTTTATCCTTGGTCCCTATTCTCCTGCACATTTCACGTTTATTTGTTTGGCCTTGCATCGCATTGAATTGCCGATTACAGACACTATCGATTATTCGAGCCGATTTGCCACGCCCCCAGGTCCTTCGCCTCCAAAATGCACACACTGTGTCTAGGCCAAGTACAGTGGAGATTCCGATGCCGATTCCGATGCCGAATCCGATTCCAAGGTCGAGGATTCAAAATGATAACGGTGGCGCATCCGAAGCTTTAGCTTTAAGCTTTCGAATTTTATTGCCAAACTTTCGCGGGAGGAAAAACACAATAGAAACTTTTAAGCACAAAAAAATTTCCTCGCCCTTGCATTTATTTCCGGTTCTTGTTTCACTTCGCTTTTATCTCAATTACATTTATAATTATTCATTATGTATATGTATGTATATAGTATATGCATATATGTATTGCCGTATGTAAATATTCATATTAATATATATTTATATTTATTTTGTAAGATATCCAGCTGCAGAGGTTTGTGGCCTAGGAACCAAAGAAATTCGCATTCAAAAAGAGGGTTTACAGAATGTTAGGAGGAAAGTGATATATTCTCTTTTTAATGTATAGATGGTTAATGGAAATGGAAATGGGAGTGAGGATATGCGATAGGGTGCACATACAACCTTGACCGCTACTCCAGAAATCAGAGGGTACGGGTTCCGGGCCATTCTACATATAACTCTGTATTTATGCCTCCAGAAAATAATCTATATAATACCTCAAAAATTTTTTTAAAATATATAAAATAATAAAACTGCAAAACCTGTAATTCTTAAATTAAATGGATGTTTGTAGAACCAAGTTTTGGTCGCATACTTTTTGAATACCTTAAATATAGCTCAAGAAATATATAAAATAAAATAGTTTTTGAGAAGTATTTTAGTAAGTTCTTATGCAAGCATAAATACCGAGCCTACGAAATTTCGGGATCGCTAACACCTTAATCAATTCTACGTGGCTTTGCTTTCGTCGTTTGTTAACTAACGCACTGTGTCCTCGAACAGAATTTAGATCAGAACTTAGATCAGATCAGATTCCCTGATCGATTGGTACATATATCATCGGGCAGTGGCCACAGTGCGCCGCCTAACTAAATCAATTGTAATGCGAATTATTCTAGGAATGCTCACACTCATGTCCGTATTTCTAGGTACCTTTAATGACAGATCTACTCACTTACATACTCTTCTTCCTAACCTTTCGGGTGCTTTGCGCTTTGGCCAATTTAATCATTTATTTATTTATTTAAACTCTTGTAAGCAAATCCTACTTAAACAACAAAAATCCTTAATCATTGTTGGGCTGGGAAAAAAAATATATATCGCTACCTTATCGGCCAGCAAGAGTTTAACGGACTTTGGCCTGCCAAAGATCGGATTTATATATATTGAATTTGAAACAACCACTGATACACACACACAAATATATATACGCAGATATATGTATACTTGATATTGTACGATTTGCTGGAATTAAATAAATACTTAAATTCTTGAAATTTTTCATTTTCATTTCGTTTGCAACACATCAATATCCGTATAAGTTTAAGATTTGCCTTGGTATTTCTATTTCCTCAAGATTTCCGTTTAGTACTCGTATTCGCATAGTAATTCGGTATATTAGTATTTTGAAGTATTTCTTGTATAGCAGTACATATAACTATTATGGTATAAATATAACACTCTGTTTCGCATTTGTTTCTCTTTGTTTTTTCATTGGGGTTTGAATCCGGGTATATATTTTATTTTATTGTACCACAAATAAATTACGTGTGATGTCCGATGTATGCAATATAATAGCTGCGTTTCATTTTGGCCCGTTTTTCGTTCTGTATCTCAAAAGTAACCCTATAACACGACTATAATTTTTCCACACGATAACATCTTCATATATATATATTTCTATCGATCTATACTCGTATTCATTATTTGCATTTGCTTTTGTCTTTGTCTTATTCTTTGGTGTTTTCATTGCGTTTTCAATCTTAACCATTTGTTTCTTCAATCTTTTTGCCTGGCATTAACCAACACTACTAGCTAACAGTAAAACTGGAACAAAAAAAAAAGGAATTATAAACTAAATATACACTCATTACGTTTCTACAGATGGGTCTTAGATAATCCCTTTCCAATCATTGATACTTCTTAACTATGCATTTGCTTTCGGTTTCGGTTTCTTTAGCTTTCACTTCCGCTTCTCAACACTAGCAACCCGCCCACTGGCAGACGTTCCAACACTGGCGCCAAGCAGAAATCCGGTTCTATCGACCTATTGTCTACAAAAATATGTCTTCGCTGTCTTTGGGTACACGGGCCGGCCCTAAATGCTCGCTACACGGGTAATCTAGACACAGATAAGTCAACATATGTATATATTATATATTCCTGTATAGGGGTTGTCGGGGATAGGGGCAAACTGTAACTAGACACACACACACATACACAACAATAGAGCTAAAGTAACACCGAGACACATACATATAAAAGAATGATTCTTGCCTCGATTCTTTATCTTTCTTTGATCTGCTGAGTAAATTATAGAGCTGTCTAACGATTCCATTTCAATTTTCTCTACCACAATATATCCATTTCATATATAAGTATGCTGAGAGCTGAGTTTGAGAAACCAGAGGCTTGAGATATAGGTACTAAAGTTATTGGAGCGATAATAGCAAGATAGAGGTACATTTGAGTCGAGATTGCTCCACAATAGTGCGGTTCGATTTGGATTTGGATGCAAAAAGTTGGAAAGTTCTAGTATCCCCTGGCTTAGCTATATATTACCCTGAAAACTAGAGGTCGAATAGATAGTTGACCGCCTCTTTTCTGTGCAAAATGTTTAAGAAATTCCTAGAGGTTCAAGAACCACTTCAAAAGGCTTCAAATAGTTGCAATCAAGAATAGATTGTTAGACTTATGGTCTAAAAATATATTACAGCAATGGGCTATTTTGATTTTTACATAGAGAAGAATCAAATTGAATAAAAAATAAATAATCCTGCTTAATCCCAAATCGAACTTTTCTTTTGGTTTCTTTTTGGTAATTGGTTTACGTAGAAGTAAGAACCATTTTGTGTTTTTTTTTTGCATTATTGGAGAAGTATTGAAAACCGTTTTGTAGGAGACCGTTTTAGTTTAGCATTAGTTGTTTTTTTTCTTTAGCTGCCGTGGTGCGACTTTAGAATCCCCGGAGATTCCCCTTGCTCCCTTAGGAGATGCTGCACGAGTTGCGCTTGGCGCCCAGACTCCGCTCCTGGATTCGCTGGAGGTGCTGCAGCTGGGCCGGAGTGGGGGCATGGGATCCACCGGAGCCGCCGCCGGATGAAGACGCTGCTGCTGCCGCCGCCGCCGAGGTGGAGGCGGAGGAGCCTCCGCCGCCGGAGTTGTGGTGGTGCTGCTGCGACTGATGGTGGTGGTGGCTGTGGTGGTGATGGTGGTGCAGCGGGGTGCCCGGCCCATTGTTGCCAATCTGTTGCGGCAACGACTGGCGGCGACGTCGCAGTGCCGGACTCAGATTGTAGGTGATCTTTGCTTGGGCCAGCAGCTCCTTGAACACCTGGTTGGAGAAGAGTTCAATTTCTGTTATGGGTTTCTGAATAACAAGACAGAGAATTTACTAACCTGAGTGATGTTCTCATTGCTGGCAGCCGAGGCCTCCACAAACCCATTCTCCCAGTCCACAGTGACCACCGATTCTGTGGTGGCGTACTCAACCTGAAAGTAAGGAAAAATTTCTCATTAAAAAATTGAAAATTTACAAATAATATTTAAAAGTTTTTGTTAGATGAAACTATCGCAAATTCTCTATCCGCCGCATCAAAAATCAATTTAAACCCACACCATAAAACTGAGAACGAACTTTATTATTTCTTATCGGCAACGAAAATCCTTATAGACGTCTAAATTGCGGCGATAAATGTGAAAAAAAACGGCAACAAAAATAAAATAAAGAAGGTAAAAAAGGACAGGGTCTTAAGATGGGGCTAGAAATTTGCTGACTTCGAATCGAACCGAAGCGAACCGAACATCGGGGCTTAATTCTTCCAAATGAACAAACTCAAAGAACGGTGGTGAGCAACTACAACAACAAAAAAGGCAAGCAGACCCTACCGAATTTAGAGACCCTTCGCTTCTCCTCCCCAATCAAGGTTTAAAGCGGTCTAACCCAAAAAAGTACAAAAAGGAGCCCAGTAACACAAAGGCGACAACAAAAAGTTGATTTCGCTTCATTGAACAAAAAAATACACACAGACTAAGGCTAAGGAGCCAAAAAAGAAGTGGTGTATGGAAAAAATCCACTTAAGAAAATATAAAAATAAAATAGCATAGGATTTTATATGAAATGATATGGTATGATATAATATAATATGATATGATTTAATATGATATGATATAAGCAGATTAAATACTGTAAAATAATATTTTATTAATATACTGTTAATTATGATCAGTTATGATAAATAGATGGACCGATATAATCGAAATATGCATATGATGACTTATCTAAGACAGATGCTCTTTAAAGTCTTTCATTATTTTTTTTGTTTTAAAAAAAGTTTAAAATGCATAAATATTTAATTTTATTTTTATGCAAATATCGAATATTAAAGTTGATGTTCAGCTGATTTTTCCCCGTGTATAGCGAATAATATAGGAATCGAGGGGCTAAGCCAAGAACCGCGACAGTCTGGCGTTTGCTGGCAATTTGCATTTTTATTATATCAGAACTCGGTTAAAGTCAATACACCCAGAGGAAGAAGGAAGAAGAAGAAGAAGGTGGAGCGGCAAGCAGTGCTCCTCCGACTGGTAAAAAGAAAGCAGTGTGGGACCCCAAAGTCCCCAAACTACTTATGCATAACTACGTATATAATGGCGAAAAAAACACACCAAATAAGTGACAAATAAGGCAAACGGAAAATGCCAAAACAGGCCAAAGAAAAGATAAACAAAGGCAAATTAAAATTTATAAAGCCCCCAATGAAGTTGACCAACTGTGACTGTCTCGGGAAAAAATACAGCGAAAAGGGAAACAAATAAAAAAGCGAAGGGGTTTTAAATTTATAACAATATAAACAGCGTAACCAAAGCAAAGAAGTACCCATAAAATGTCAAAGAAATTCCAGAACTTTTTGACATTTTAAAAGTGACTGTAATTGAATTGTCTTTACATAATAAACATTACATTTATAACTTGGGTTTTAATGTTGTGATTTGTGATTAGCAAATAAGAGCCTACAAAATAACCTATATAAAACATAGATATACAATTTTGTGAACCGTATAATTTAACAATAAATAAATAAATACTACATTTACCTACAAAAAATTCCCCTTTAATTCTCCTTTTTTATTATGATGCAACTAAAATTTGCATAAATTAGACCGGTAAACTTTCCACATTTCGGTTGAACAACTCAAATTTCCGGTTCCATTTCTGTTTTCGCTTTCAAGTTTTCACAATCAAAGCGGAGTTTCCTTTGCACTTTTCCGCCGCAAACTTTCCCGGGCTCATATTCGTACCTTTTTTTCGCCTTTTAGCTTTTTGCGTGTGTTTCCCTTAGTTTGTATGCCCGGAATTTATTAGAATCACTTTGGTGTGCTGTGGGGGCCCGGAGGCCAGAAATTGGGCCAGAAACTTATGAAGGGGGGAAGAAATTCTCTGGCCAAATGATGCTCACTTAAGATATGCAAAGTACTTCGACTTCGGGCCGAAAAAGAGCCTGGTAGCTCGGTGCTCGGTTGTTATTATTATTATAACATTTAAGGTTCTTTTATACCAGATTATTTCATTCTGTGGGAAAAAACAAACAAAGAAATTGCACGGTATATTGTTGGTCTCTTTTATAGCTGCCAGTTGCATAAATATATAAATGTATTGATATGGCTATTCCATTTTCTAATTCCATTTCGTCGAAAATAATATGAGACTTTCCATTGGGCTGCACTCGTTTTAAATACCATCTTTGTAATTGGTTGCACTTCCCCAACAATTTAACAATTTACAAGAATACAAATATCCCCTGGTAGGGATTGCATTTCTAATTGGCTGTCGCTGTGTTCCCATTCAACTGAATCGCATTCTTCATTTTATTCGCCACCCCGCCTGCCCCGTTGGCATTTTCTTTATTTTTCGTCTGTCAAATTCCTGCAGCTCGTTTCTTTCGGGGAAATTTGCAATGCAGCTGACAGCAAAAGTTGGGAAAGCGAGGGAAAGCGGGGGAAAGGGAACCGCAGTTGCAGTTCTTATGATGCCCGCCGGCTTTCCACTTTCTTCTCCAAGCCACCCCGCATTTCCCTGGATGCTGCGTACTTTTCACTAATTATGCAAAAGCTGCCAAGGAAAGGGGCGAAAGTAAGAAGGGGGCACAGTAAGAAATATTATTTAAAAATTAATTTGCAAGTCCTTAGCGAACAATTATCTTGGTTAAGGTTTAATGTATTTAATTTTAAGCCCGAAACTCATTCTCCCCTTTTTTTTTTAATTCTTTGAAGTACACAAGTAATGTTCTGAACATAAGACTAAAAATCTTTAGAAATTGTATTATAAAAATACAAAAAACAAAACTTCTGTTTTATGCTTTAGTAACAAATTAAAACAATTTTATTAATGCAGGTAAATGTTATGAATAGAAGACTAAATAAATAAAAATGTTTAGTAATTTTATTATACAAAGACAAAAATGTAAGAAAAATATTAAGAGACAAAACTTTTGTTTTTTCTTTCTCAAAAAAATCAAAAACTACCCAAAAATGCCTCTTTCTAGCATTGAATTTTTTACAGTGCAGCCACACTTGATGGCATTTCATTTTGTGTGACTTTCGCGCGTAGTTTGCACTTTATTCCGCGAGTCTGTCTGTTCGTCTGTGTGATATTATGTTGCCACGCCCCCCTAACCGCCCTGCCGCCCCACCGCCCACTTTGACATTTTAAATGTTACATTTTTTCGTTGCCTGTGACATCCGAAACAGCTGGGCAGTGTTTTATGTCCTTTGGCTGCCGTTTAACTGCAGCCCACAAATAAAGTGAATGGAGTGCATAAAGTGAGTGCTCATATTGAATATATATGTATGCATGTAAACACCGTGTTCACACTGTGGCTCATCATTTTTGGATTTCGGATTTCGGATTTTCAGATTTTTAGATTTTTGGGGCGTTCTCTGACAAATTGTTTAACTGACTTTCTTTTGGCACCCCACGCTGTCAGTTGAGAAAACTTTTGATTAAACTGTTTGTCCTTTTTTACCCATCCTCCCGTCCTCCTCCCGTTTTGCGCGCTTGACAAACTTTACATAATTGCTAAAAACGCCTTTCTTTTTTCGTTGGATAAAAAGCAATTTTCGTGGGCGTGAGCTGGGGGGCGTGGCAGGCGGCAAGTGGCAAGTGAAGCACAATGGAGCGGTTATTGTATAAACATGCCTTCGAGCAATTTTCCCACACAGAAGAGACAACAATCAAAGCGGTCAGGTCACACTTTCCCCCTTTTGGATAGAGGGCAATTAAAATTGATGCAAATTAGCAGAGCAGGCGAACAAATGACCTCGGTGTGACCTCCGATTTGGAGACTTAATGGTTGGTTTCTCTGATCCTTAAGAATTCGCGGTCTTAATAATTCTCGATTTATTTTAAAATTGATTTAAAATGATTTGAATTTGGAAATTTTGTTGGTTGTTTTCTTTAATCCAGAAGAATACGCGGTCGTACTTATTTTTCATAATAAATGATTAAAATTAGAAAACCACGACCTATTATATTTTTGGTATTACCCACCTCGCGTTCGGTTTCTCCATCGGCTAAAAGATCGATCTTGTTGCCAACAACCACAATGGGAACTGCAGTGGTGGCCTTCGTCTCGTGGATCTGGTCGCGAATTGTGCGCACCTCTTCAAAGGTTGTGGCATCGGTGACATCGTAGACCAGGATGAAAGCATCCGCCGAGGATATAGAAAGAGCACGCATCGCCGGAAACTACAGAAAAAATATAAGAAATACATAGATTCTATTTAGATTTGTTTATAAATAATATTATAAAAATTGTAAATTTTTTTTTTGTTGAAAAGTTCTAACATTCTTCGTTACTTGAAGCCAATTTCGTAACATTAATAGAGGATATATTTTAATAAACGTGACCACTTTTCAGTTATTACAATAATTTTATTAAAGCTAATGTTATTCATTTCCAGAAAATCTGTGTGTTTTTCATATATACATATCAACACCTCTCGTTTTGCAGAATTAAAATGCCCTGCGAAATTCGGAGAAAAACTATTATGGTTATATTTTCATTTCGTTAAATTGTCATAACAATTTCAGTTGAGCAAATGTTGTTGAGCGAAATTATTTCATTGCAAATTTTTCACTTGGCTAACGAAACATTTGGAAATTGAATTAGTAGAAAAATATTATGGGCAAAGAGGAAGGTACATATTTCACTAATTTGTCACATTAATTTCATTGTAGAAATATTTATTTAGTCACATGGAAAATTACATTTTATTATAAAGAATATTTCTTTAATTTATGCATTAAGTTTTTCCCAAAGCTATCACGCATTTATAATACCAATATTTATCGTTGACTTGTCACATAAATATGAAATGAATGTCAGTGTTTGTCTCCCACATGAATTTAAAGGCAGATTACCTATCAGGCAAACACATCCGTGAAAAATGCCTTTCCGCTATATATTCATAATTGATTTCGTGTTGGTGTCACAGTATAAATAAATAATGTTGATAGTTTTGTAGACCAATAAATTTTGGGAGTATTTAAATACCATAACTTAAATATTACGCTTAATTTTCCAACGATTTTTACCTTTTTTTTAAATGTCTGCAGTGCGAAAATGAATTTAAAAAATGCAAGCCTGAGAAATGAGTTAAAAGTGTTGAACAAGGAATGTAAATTACAGCGACGGCAATCATCAACGACAATTGTTTCCTCAATGATAATTTGCATATTATTACTGTCACACACGCACACACTCGCAGCACACTCACACTCTCGTACACGCACATATTTGAATAATCACGGATAATAATGTAAATTTTGAGTTCTATGCCCGTTAAACATTTTCACACTTTTCACAATTTCCCCTCAAGTGGAAGGAAAAAGCGAATGGAAAAAATTGAAATTGAAATCTCTGTGTTGTGTGTGTGCGGGTGTGTGTGCATAATTTTCTAATATTCTCGCCATCGAGCTGAATATTTTTCCGAAAAGAAATTGCTGCAAAATTAGCGAAATATTCACACGAAAGTGCTTACGCATCACAGCGCTTTAAATGGGATAATTTTCACGAGTTTTTCATCACTGCCAAAGCTCTTTTTTTATGATACTAAATACTTCTTCTTTTTTTTTTGTATTTATTTGGCCTTCAGCCATGTCGCAATATTTTAATAAATTTCGCAAAAGCGAAGCGAATGTGCGAATATTTGCAGCAACAGTTTGAGTTTGCTTTATAGCGGCCTTTGAGTGCATTTGAGCACTGCCAAAAGAGAAAGATTATTAAAAAATATATGTTGATAAATATATGTAAAATAAATATATTAAACTAGGTTTTACAATAACCAACATTTCCAAGCCATTTTCGTTTATTTTCTGCCATTAAAATTCCCCCTTTTATTCCATTGTTTTAATAACGTTTTGAATTACTGGTTAAAAAGTATGAAAATCACGTTGGCATTAATGCAGACAAAAGCCCACCGCATTTTGCAATCCCAAATTCCTTAATTAATATTTACACAAAAGTGTGCCCCTGTTTGTCTCTGGTTTAATTAAAGGTCCTTGATGGCCCCACCACAGTGACCCTGACCTCAGCCATGCGCCCCCCCTATTCCCCACCTCTGACATATGACCCCCCTGTCATTGCATGTTCACAATTGTGGCAGGACGGCCAACCCAACCCAACCCAAAACTGAGTTCGCATGTGTACAATTTGTGAATTGTGTTTTGAATCTTTCAAAGTCCCAGGACAACTGGGAGTTCTCCGTCGATTTTTGGCTAGCTCTGTCGATGTGGAATGAACTGAACAAAAATTTCGATTTTTTTGGGAACCTTACAAAAATATTTTGGTACTTAAAAATGAGTATATTTAATATATGATCTTATATAAGTCAAATGGAAAGATCATTGTTAGTAAATTAATAAATTAAAATTTTTTGTTTATACATTTTTTACTTTTTCTTCTTGTGGGTTTCTTTTCAGCAGCAAGTAATTTTTGCGAATGCAAGTGCTGAATGGCAAATGAATCATAGCACAAATGAAACGAATTAGGGCCACGCACTCACGGGAGCTTTAAATGGTTGGGAAAAGGGAACAGAGGGGAAGGGAAAGGAAAGGCTGGTGAAAGGTCTGGGGTCTGGGGAAAAGCGGAAAAACTGCGGCGACAGTTCACTGGCATCGTCTTCATCTCCATTCTCGTTTGTCTGACTGGCGGCAGAAACCGCAACCGCAGCATTTTGGGCACAAGATACATACGTTGTGCAGGAAAATGCGAATGAATGGGTAAAAAATGGGTGGAAAGTGCGGGGAAAAGTGGGGAAAAAGGGGAAAAGTCCCGCCCACCCAGCAGCAGCACTAATGGCTTTCAAAATCATGTGCCTGCCGAGTTAGTTTCAAATTGAGTACCCACACACAGGCGGAGAAAAGCCGGGAAAATGGCAGGAAGGAGGCAGGAAGAAAGGGAAATTTCGGGGGGATGAGCAGAAAACCCAGTCCGTGTTAATAAAAAGGCTACCATTGAAATGTGCAGGCCACTGAGAAATGAAAGTCCAAATGAAAAACCCCAACGAGCGAAAACAAAAAGTGAATGCCCAAGGAAAGCCCTCAGAAACAACACAAAAAAAAAACACAATGGCCAACCAAGTGTCGTGCAGTTCAGATAGCCCTAAAAAAAGAAGGGAGAAAGATAAACCCTGACCTTGCACCTGAACTTGAACCCTAACCTGAATCTCAATCTGAACCCGAAACCCCAATCTGGATAAATATAAATATCTCTTTCTCGGCAAAGGGTAAATGATTGCAAATTGTAGGGAGCACCATCAAATGGACAACAAATTGTTAGGAGCGTTTAATTCAATATTATCAGACAGGAATTGAATTTAAATATCTTTGTAAATAAATCCTTTAAATATAAATTCTGGACTTGAAATATTCTAATATTTTTTCTTTAAATATTGTACATAATATTTCGGTTATTTATTTTAATTTTTTTTCATCAAAGCTGAGAACCATTTAGATATATTAAACTTTGAACTCGTATAAATTCCTTTTTAAATTATTTAAAAAAAAAAATCTGAATTTAAACGAGTATTATTGAGTATTTTATTTTTGAGTATTGGAAATAATATTTTGGTAATATAATCTACATTTTATTTATCATTTTCATCCTAAAGTATTAAAGTACCAAATAAATCGACAAAAGTAGAGATCTATGCAAACTATTCCGGTTATTTTCATTCAAGTCCACCTGATTATTTACTTTTACCTTTTTCCTCCTTATAAATAGGCTTTACCAGGAAAGTTCCTGGAAAAGTTCCTTAGTCCTCGTCCTTCGTCCTCTTTTTTGCCTGTGGAATTTTACCTTAAAATTTAAACCCAGCCCGTGTGTCCTGTTCGCTTTTTTGCGCCAGCTCTCCATTGAAATTTGTTTAGCTTTATGCTCGCATGCTGCTGAATCATTTTCATGTGGCAGACAATTTCCATTTTGGGGCACTTCCTTTCTTCCGTTTTTTTTTCTTCCCCAGCTTCTCTTTTTTTTCGTTCTATTTCCTTTGCCGGGAAAACCGATGTTTTCATCTCATCAAAAACGAGTTGGAAATGCTTTTTTTTTGCTCCCTTTGTTATGATAGCATATTACTGTAAATAACACACGCTCAAGATGGAAACACAGAAGCTCATCTTTTGACCCGAAAACTTTGCCTTCTCTAGTATTTTGTGCATTTCTGCTGCTCTTTCTGGCTTCTGCTACCCATTCCACATACGCCCCGTGGCCCAATTTACTCCCCTCAGTCAATTTCCCACTTGTTACACAGGCGACAAGCCAAAACCAACACCACAAGGATCCTGGATACTGGATCCCGAATCCTCAATCCTGAGCCGCTTCCTGTCGTCGGCAGCTCTGCTTTTACTGTACTCTTGCTGCACGAAGAAAAAATATGACCAAGATTTTAAAAATATCACAATATCTTCTATAAAATAAACAACCGAAAAATACAAAAGTATTACTAAAAAAATTGTGCAAAAAATTGAAATAAATATATTATTGAAACTACAAGGTATTTTATTCATAACTAAAAAAGTGGAAAACAATTTTGAAAGTCAGTTAAGAAAATCAAAATGTAGAATAAAATTTTAAAATCAGAGCATTCATTAAGAAGTTATGAGCAAAACAATTCATGGAATGCAAGCAGTGCAAGCAGTCGATTTACTGATTGCACTCCTTTTAGTAGTAGCGTTATCTGATATTTTTTCCAGTGCTTATCCTTTTCACATGCCAAGCTCTTGATTTCTCAATGGACTCCCAATTGTGTGAATTTTGTTTTGCGCTTTTCATTGATAGATGCCAATGGAAAGTCGAATGGCAATCATTTGGCAAATATTGCTGGGAAATGGGAAATGCAAATGCCGCTTCTGGAATCTATCCCCAGATCGCACATATTCTCTAAATTTAAGTCCCTCCGACAAAAGTTGATTCAATTTTGGCTTTGAGCATGGAAACTGATGCCAGCCACACACTCTTGCCAATTGCATTCGCACATCGGGCCAAGGTAAACAAAAACGAAGCACAAAAAAAACACACGCACTCAAATTGCACTTAGTTAGATTCGGCTTAAACCTGAAACAAAATGCAAAAACTTTAACTTAGTTTGAAGTTCACTAACTTGATTCACACGTGCCGTTCTGTGTGGGAAAACTCTGCATTTATTGAATTTCCGTTTTGCCCTCACCTTTTTTATTTTTCATTTTATTTTATTTTATTTTGTTGAGCCAAGCCAAGTCTTTGTCAATAACAAATTTTAATATCGGACAAAAGGGAGCTTTTCGTTTTCTAATCGGATAAAAACTAGTATAGTAGTTCTGTACTAAAAGGGGGAAAAAAGAAGACTCTTTATTCCGTTCCGGGAATCCATCATTGATTTAACAATGGCAAAATTTACAACTATAGGGAATTTTGGAAGCATTATAGAAGCACTTAGAGTGAAAAGAAAAATTGTTAAATCATTTGGCTGGTATGACAACTATTTGTGACAAAACAAATATGGTATGGTAACTCACTAATTGGCCAAACTGATTGTTCCGTTTGGCTAAATTCCTCTGAAAGCCCTGCAAATACTTCACTCTTGCTGCCAGTGCAATACGATGATAGTGTCAGAGGTAAAAACGGTGGAAGTCCACACGGAAAAAAAGTTTATTTTAGCCGTTATTTTCCCTTTCTTTTTTTTTTGGTTTCTTTTCTACTGCTGTGAAAAACAATACCGTGTGCACTAAAAAAAGCGCTTGTGGCCAGAAATGTGTGATCAATTTTGAACACAGTTCGGGTTAATTTGAGACCTAAAAAAAAATAGGGGGAAAAAAGAAAACAGCCCCCCTAAAATGCCATTATGGACTCATAACGTTTGCGTTATTGATTTGAAAAATGGAAAATGTAAAGTGTGGCAAAAAAAAAGGGTGGGTGAATCCAATTACATGTCAGCCTGGTTGGCAAACAATGGCAGCTTTATTTTGCCACTTTTTCCAGCCCAGCCGAGCCCAATTCAATTACAATTATCAGTGTTCGGCGGATAAAGGGTAATTTCCACGTCGACATGAAGGGAAAAATACCATTAAATACATTACTATTTAACTGAGTTAATATTCCACTATTATATTCATAATTTATAATTATAATATATAATACATTTAGTTTATAAATTGAATACTATATTATTCGACTATTAGGATTAAGACAAAAAACTTGAGTAAACGGTGATATTATTTGTGCCACCACTGTGTGTGTTTTAAAAATATTTGCAAATTGGAATTTTTGTGCAAATACCATTTGCAGCAGGTAAACGTAAAGGTAAACGTAAACAGGGGAGTTATTCGCCCTGCTTTGCCAGTAATTTTCAGTTGCCGCTGGAAATGCGGAACAAATATTGACCAGGGGTGGCGAAAAGGGGGCCTCCGGAAACAAGGGTGTGTGTCGGAGGGCTGCCTGCGGTGTGTTATCTTTTGGCACACGCAAAAATATCACTCATACGCATGGCGGAACCTTGCGGGACTAAGCCAGCGTGAAAACTATTTGGCCAAGCTGCGGAATTCGAGAGTTTATGGCCCAAAGCAATGGAAGGGAGCTTAAAGTGCGTTTCGCTTGGCTAACAATTGTTTGAATTCTCTCGGTATTTTTTTAAAGCTGAATGACTGCTCCATAAAGGCACATTTTAATTGCATAAATAATTATAATAATATCCCTTTAATTATTTTGCACGCATTTCATTACGAGTGTGGATTTATTACATCATATTGATTAAAATGCGGTTGAGCAACAGGGATTAAATTCATTTAAATTGATTGAATTATTAAATGAAGTATTTAATTGTTTATAAAAATATATAATAAATCGCCTTAAGGCTGTGAAACGCACTGTCCTTTTGACCCTGTCCTCTCTGTTTGTCTTTCAAATGGAATCCAGGAAGGACAATGCCACTTGCTTATGGCCACTTGGCTGCAAATGATTGCGCATCCGCACCGTGTGCCCCGTGCAGCGATGACGAATGCGTTTGGAAAATGAAAAAGTGCACTTTCCACGGGCGGCTGTGTGTGTTTAGTGGGGTTGAAAATGAAAATCCCTTCGCAATCAACGCATATATCAGGATTATGTGACACCAGACTTGACCGAAGGACCACTCTTATTAACCCAACGCACCAAACACATGTAGTATACACACAACACAGCCCATGATGTGACCTGCCACTAGGCGATTTATGTTTTCGGGGTAGAGGCACTATATGGATCCCCCTTTTACCCCCCAGCAGGGGTCGTAAAATTTATGAGCAATGCGTGAATGTGTTAAAATTTATGCCTCGCCGGGTTGCCACTTTGCCAGTTTGCCAGCTTGGTTGTTATACACAAACTACACCACATATATCCTCCAAGGGTGCGGGATCTTGTGTTTATTTGGGCATCCATCAGGCGAGGGTTGCGATTTGGCCTGATTTTGGAGTTAACTCCAAATGATTATCCCACTTTCAGGGCTTCGCATGAGCTGCCCTGCGAATCCGTGTTTCATTAGTTCCATTCTGGCCTCCATATCTGTGCTGTACGATTGCATTGTCCGTAAATCGAATGGAAGATGGAATATGTTATAGACTGCACGGCAAAAAAAAAAAAAGAATTTGTTTTCTAAGGATGTCAACTAAACAACTTGACTTTAAACATATATTTCTATATGATTCTAATAAGATATATTCTCAACTAAACTAGGCTATTTATTAGGACTTAACCTATAATACGGACAAAAAAGTATTTTAAGTATTATTCGGTATTTTTAAAGGTACTTCTAGAATTTTATTTTAGTTTTTATTAGAAATAAAATAAACACCTATATTAAGAACTTAGTTTATTATTATTATAAAATAATTTATTAATTAATATTTAAACAATATGAAATATATTTGAAAACATTCCATAGAATGCTAGTGCCATTTTGTTTCAGTGCAAACACTATATGAAGTGCTCCTCATTTTTCGCCAAGGACACAACATCGAACATTGAATGTCGAGTCGAGAGTCACAGTTCAGTTGGCTTCGGCTTCACTGGGCTTGCAATCTCTGCCTGACTGACTCCATTTGTAGTAGCATATATCCCGCATTGTGTGCCTGCATTCATAAGGTATGTGTATGTATGTATGTATAGAGTAAGGTGCGCCACGCCCACTTCGCCCCCACTTCGGGCAACCCCCCCGCTGTTCGCCTTTCATGAACAAGAGAGCATTTCAATTCACGCGCAGCGGAAGTGCCAGCGAAATTGAATCGCAGGCTGTAATTTCCGCTGCAGCCAGCTGGATGATGATAATAATGATGATGATTATGAGATGGCCAGGTGAGGTAAAGGCTGCTCCTGGAAAATCAGTAGATGTACCCAGCAGATTCCGGATCCAGCATCCAGTAGCCAGAATCCAGAAACCTGGGCGGCGACAGCCCTTTGATAATATTGAAAAGCAACTAAATGCTGCTGGCGCCCTGTTGCAGCCCATTAGAGTTGGTTATTTAAAATTAAAAGCCCTGCTGCTGCTGCTGCTGCTCGAGGACTACGGGGAACTGAAACTGCTGCTGAAAGTCCTGCCACAGGATAAGCCAGCATGAGTGCCAGCCATACCCCCCAACCCACTTACACCATGGCCACAAACAATTTGATTCACTTAATGAAGCCAGCGTGGAAAGTGGGTGCACTCATAAAAATATTTGCACCCCATTACCGCAGTCACTGGGAACAAATAAGTACTGATTGAACTTGACTTGTTCTATTAAAAATCAACTTAAATACAAATGAAATGTAATATATAAAGTATTTTCAAATATTTGTAATAATTTAAATGCTGATATTTAAAACCATCGATTTTTGGGAAATGACAAAACTATCGATAGGTAATCGACATTATCGATGGTTTTGTAATTTTGCATTATATTGCTATCGATTATATTGCCTAAGTGGTTTCAAAAATCAGAGATTTTATTCCATTTGACTGAGAGTAGTATACATTTCTTATCGATAATATCGATATTTCTGATTTAAACGAAATTCAGTCATACTTTCACAGTGCACAATTTCACATTTTTACTCACCTCATAGGAACCGGCAGTGTCCAGGATATCGAGGGTGAGACTAACGCCGGCGATGGAGAAGTTGCCCTGGTGCATCTCCTCGATGGTCCGCTTGTATTTGGTGCTGAATGTGTTGTACAGAAACTGGGTGATTATCGACGTCTTGCCCACCTTGGCAGAGCCCATGACGACGATTTTGTGGCGGGCGTTGGCCGGTCCGATGGCATCGTCGACCGCGTTATTCCTGCCCACTCTGCGTATGCGTGATTTTTGGGTTGAGCGTTGAGAGTTGATGGTTGAGAGTGAGGTAGAACATGGAAAAACATGAAACATAAAACGTGACTTGAGTGAGTTAAGTTCGCTGCAATTCAATTAATTCGCGGGTCTCCGCGCAAAGGCTTTTCTCTCCATTTTGATGCATGATTTAATAACAAACCCAAAACCCCCCTTCCCCACCACTCGCTGTAAATTTCAATGGATTTCACTTTATCCCCATGGGCGACTCATTAAATCTGTGCGCCACATTTAAAATTAATCATTACGGCAACATCACAAAGCGTCAACTGCGAAAGTAGAGCAAACAAAAGGACCCTCACTCTATAAACAGAGCGGTATATAAACGATATGCTTAATGGTATATAGTTATATAGTATATAGTGCAGGTGTGTTCGGTGGTCTGCCTGAAAATTAATTGGGAATCGGGGGAATTATTTGTCTTTGGCAACGGATGTCAGCTTTAAAGCTTGGGATGAAACGGTTGAAATACATCCTCAAAATGTGGCAGATTTAATGGATTTCGAACAAAAAGAATAACTAGCAATAAATTAAACGATAAACGATTATTGTGCTCTTGATTTAACTCTTTTTAAAAAAATATATAAAATATAAATAGAAAAGTTATGGATTGCCCACAGTTGAGTTAAACAAACTGCCATAAATACTTTCTACTTATTAGTTTTTAGCTGTTAAAGTTGCTGTCCAAAACATAGTTGCGTTCAAGATTTATGGAACTTTGTAAAAAAACAATGAACACAGAAAAAATATTAACAAAATATCCAATAGATCGCGTCATCCATACATATATTTTTACATATTATTTTACTAAATTTGGCATTTTAAAATAGTTGTTAAATTTGAATTATTTTGATATGAATTGACCATATTTCAAATCGAATTTTTTTCTGTGTAGTGTTGTAGCTCACTTTTGTAAAATATCAAATGCTGTATATAAATTATATTTGATTTATAAAAACATATAAATAAAATACTGGAGAATCTCTTTATAATGCGGTTGTCTGTTTTCGAAATGTACAAAATGCCACATGTGTATGTTGAATGTTGAAAGTTGAAAGAAGAAACTTCCTTATCTCGGCTACTGCTGCTGCTGCTGGTGGTTGACAGCGAAAGTAGGAACAGGAAATATTCCGGGTGGAGAACACGGCACATCTGCGATGAAATCCAATGCCATTTCCGGCTGGACAATGGCCACAAAGCCGCAGAATCCGAGGATGACAGCTCCTCCTTCGTCCTGCGAAACGATAAATCAGGGAAATCCAAGGGAGAACGGGCTGGAATCCGAATCGAAGGAGCAGAAGTGGCATAATTGTTCAACGGGAGACGGCTAACCAACAGCGGATCAAATTTGACTTTAATAAGCGCAATTCTGTCTTGTCTTTTATTTATTTTTTTTTTTTTGGCACCTTTTCCTTGGCGTTCTATAAATATTTTTCCCAACGGGGAAAAGGAAAAGTAAAACAACAAAACAAAAACAAGAAGAAAATTGTAATCAAAGGCCCGCAGAACATGAAATTCTTGTCCTGACAGGCGAAACAAAGGAAAAGTATGCAAACTACGGAAAACCGTTTCCCTTTCGCATTTTCTCATTCTCATTCTCATTTTCTGGTTTTCCTCCCTTTTTGCGTCCTTTGAACTTGATGAAGAAATGAAAATGTTACCCCAAAAAGTGAAAACATAGATGCCAGTTGAAAATATTATTTGCTGCCCGCTCATCTGCCATCTCTTGAATATCTTCTGCCGAATCGAATGGGATCGCAGGATCTGACCACATTGTCCTTGGCAGGAAAACTTTCCTCGACACTTTTCTGATAAAGTTCAGCTCGGAATTTTGCACTCCTTTCTCTTTCCCTTCGGCTTCCTCGACTGCACAAAATTCTTTTGCAATTATTGCGGGCAGCAATTGAAGTTTGGGGCCACTTCAACTTTCTGACACTTTGACTGGTTATCTTGGGTTAACTTTGGGTTGCCGGGCTTTGCTATCCGGGGATTCCCCCGGATTTCGGGATGAAATCCCCCCAACTAAGACTTACACGTGTCCGCCGTTTGTCACGCTGTAATACCAAATGCTAAATGTTAAATGGCGAATGGTGAATGCCACCCACACATATTTATAGTCGGCTATAATATGGATTTGTGGGCGGTATTAGTGGTTAAATTGCATTGCATTAGAGAGGGCAATTTATTGAAGGCATCTCATTTCGTCGTACATCATCATCATACATGCGAGCACTTATTTGTTCAAGAACATTTACCACCAAAGCCATAAATATTGCGAGCATGATTTTAGAATGCGCCTCTACTAAATAGCGACTAATTTATGACTCGGTTACACTTTTAGAAAAATTCTCTAGTTGGCAAGTGAATTGCAAATAATTTAATGGCCTTATGATGCTGGACTTATTTTTAAAAGTCATGGCAACCTAGAAACAAAAAATGATTTACAGCTTAAAACTGTTTTATGAATTTATTTGCAATTATAAAAAAAAAAACAAAAATGTTTAAACGATTTAGATAATAAATTTGCAGTACTAATTCATATTTTAGAGGGTGTCTAAAAGTATACAGGGAATAAAAGATAGTCGCCTTTTTTGTATGAATTCACATCAGTTTTAGTTTTAAAATATATTGTAGCATACTTTTAGACACCTATATAGCGATTTAATCTTAAAGTAGAAATGTGTGTAAACTATTTTTGGAGGTCTACAGTTTGTGCGTTTCTGCGCTTTTTATGAACCATAAATATTGGCGTGCTTGCATAAAAGAGCACGTTTTTTGCCCTTTTCCAGGTGAGAGATGCAAAACCCATGTACATATGCTACATTTTAGCCCTTTTTTTCTTGTTTTTTGGTGTTTTTTGGTGCTTTTAAGTGGGATGGGTGGTTCACTCAGCCATAACTTACTTGTCACGCTTTGGTTTATCCTCGGCATTGTCATCCTTCATGAACGAGGGCTGCAGGCTGAATCGGCGACGCAAGTGACGGCCCCGCATCCTGCAATCCTTGAAGTTTCCTCGGTGTCCTGGTTGTCCTTGTTGACTACTGTTGATATATATGTATACGAACGCTCCTCGCTTTTCGCTCAGTGCGCTCAGCTTTTTTTCTTCTTCGATTCGGTCTGTGACGTTTTATTATCAGCAGTCAGTGTAAGTGGAGCAGTAACTGTAGCGGTAACTGTAGCGCTAACTGGCAAACTGTTATGGCCACGTTAACGGTCGTCGTCGGTAGTTGTTGGCTCCTTAGTCCTTAGTCCTTCGGCCTTAGTTTATTATTAGCCCCGCCAGCGTTTTTCCCTTTCCGCCCTTCCACCGGAAAATGCAAATATTTGCTCTTCTTTCTCGAGTCTTACGTTTCGTTTTAATTACGTGACTCCGATGATGATAATTTCCTTGGCAAATTCCCCGTGTTTACCTGCAAATGGAAAATGTTCTGGATGAGACACAAAACACAAGACAAGACAAGAGGCGAAAAAAGCTATAAATTACAAGCCACCTGCTTATCTTTCGGCTGAAGCTTTCTGGGTGTCAGCATTTGATAATTGAAATTAAAGCGAAAATCGTTTGGGCCAAAGGGAAACAAATTTACAATAAATACCAACACGAAAAAGGGGCGAATTTCGCCGAAAGAACTGCCGAAGGTTTGATTACTGTGCAAGGAAAATAAATAAATAAAAATAAATTGCATGGAAAATAGGTATATTAAATGAGTAATTTCTTAAAAGCTTTTGAATTCCCTAGAAATAAAAATTCGTTTCGAAATATTTTACAATTATAAACTCAGATTAAATTACAAGAATTTTTTTAATCTCTGCACTTTAATTAAATAAATCATGAATCGAAACAAATAAAATAATTTTATTTTTCTGTCAGATATATTTTCTTGATCCCAGCTGCCGGGAATGCTCCCTGGGAAATGGCATTCAAGAAAAAGTTCAACTTTCGCCAAGTTAAACTTTCTCGGGGCTAATTAAACAGATTTATGTGGAGGGGGCGTGGCAGTCGAAAGCCCTTAGACTCTCTCTGTTTTCTACTTTCTACATTCTACTGCCTTTTTCGCGTGCAGCAGCTCTCACTAAATGCCCTGCTACTTATTTTAATTTTATGGGTATTTTTGTAGCAGTTTCTGTTCTTCCTTAACTTAGTTTATGTTAAGAGAAAGGAGAAAAGCGGGATGAAGAACAATGTGGCTGACATTAATTAGACTGTAATGGAGTGAAAGTACAGGTCTCTGAGTTTAAAGTTGCCTTGCATCCGAAAACGATGCACAGAAAGAAAATAATTTGATATCGCATTTATGTCGATCGTTGGCTTAAGCCGAAATTATATTAATTATTTAAATATTATCATTTTATGTTATTATTTATTAATTTATTTATACAAATTTTACCCCCATGACTAATTTTTTCTTTCTGTGTAGGAAGCAAAAAAGGACGAGTGCCCTTTTCAAATGCATTTCAAGCGATTAAATGTTACTTGAAGTGCAACTTAATCTGCCCCAGCTTACACACACATTTGTATGCACATGTGGAAAAAGAGGCTCTGAAATAAAATCCGAAATTGTATCTGTTTCCCACGCAATTTCCTTTGTGAACTGCAGTATTTGGCACAATGTGCAACAAGCTGCAGTTGCAACAAACAGCACGCAAGTTGCAGGCAAGAAGCGGAAATCGCTTGAAAATGCCTTGAAATCACTCAGCATTCAGAGCAGAAGGAAGAGCACCAGCAGGAAAAACCCGGGGAAAGGCAGGAAAAGCTACTGCGCGCCGGCGAGACCGAGAAGCAGACGAAAAGCAACTCAATTGTTGGGCATTATCCATATTCTGTGGCCCTCAAAATGGATCAACTCCAGCCGGAAAGACAGCAGCCGAAAAAAGGGAAAAAAGGGGAGAAAATGCTTTATATTTTATTTACAGCGAAAGGTAAATGAATTAATTGCTGGCGTGGGGAAATCTAACAATCATTTCATTAGCGGAACAATAGAAGAATCGACGTGTGCCCAATGCAAGTTAGGTCACTCGCCTAACTTGCAAATTATATAATTAATTAAATAAAAATGTTAAATATTTCTTTGGATTGTGTGTAGTTGTTTTGAAGGACATTAACCCCGTATTCGACCAAAATTGTTTGCAAATTGACTGAGCGCTTTCTTTGCCTACATTTCGGGGGAATTTAAAATTCACTTTTGCTAAGCTCCTTTGCGTTTAGAGAAGTCTGATTTTTTGCGCACCGAAGACTGAAGATTGAAAGACGCTTAAGCAAGTCAAACTTTGGCAGCTGTGTGCTTTTTCTATTTTTTTCTATTCTCCGGTTTTTTTTTTTATGTTTTTGAGGAGGAGGAGGAGCACTGTGTGTGCAGTGGGTCTTAAGACCAGTTGATCCGAACTGCCAGTGAAACTTTGGCTGCGGCTTAGGAGCCCGAAAATTTGCTCAAGTTAAACGAGTTGCGGCATATTGACTGCAGTCAGCTGAATAAATGGATTATCCTGGGTGGAAAATGGGGGGGGGTCAAAGGTGGTGCAAAGGGGTGAAAGGAAATTGCCTGCGGTTCTTTTGTTTTGTCTTGGTCTTTCCCTTTCCCGGCTTCTCTTTACTAAATTAATTTGTCTAAATTTTTGTTGGTTAACCCCATGTATTTTTTTTCTCCTTTTTTTTCTTACCCCAGGACAGACAGAGTTCGTGGTAGTCATGCTGAAAAGTAGTGAAAAGTGGAGAAAATGCAACTTTTCAATTGCACTTGAAACATTCGATTTGCATAAAGTTTAGCGCAATTCGACGAAATTGCCAATGCAATGGTGGCAAAAATGCAGGGAAAGCGGGGAAAGCAGGGGAAAGGAAAGTCTGTGCTCCAGTTTCACAGGCTATCGAATGGAGAATAAAAATCTTGAATCGATTCTTTTATTTGGCCAACAACTTTGGTAATAATTTTGCACAATCTTTCGCCATCAGGCAAACACTCAAATTTCATATGGTTTTAAATACATATTTGCTCCCTTGACCATTTAAAAACCGAAAGCCAAAATTGCAAATTTATCAGTGGGGAAATGAAAATGCAAACTATCAAGAGAGAATTTTAAATACAATATAAATATCTTGAAATTTGAATAAAGATACCTAAAATTGTTTGTCTAGTTTAAGAGTACTTTGCTACTCTTTCCCTTTTTCTTTATTTTTACATTTTCCTCCTTTCGCTAGGTGCTTATTTTATTATCTGGAACATTTTCCGCTTTTCATTCAATGCAATTTATGAATAATAATAGCGATAATAATAATAATAAATCATTGAATACCGTTGGACGGGGATCGTAAAACGTATTTCGAAATAAATAATCATGAAACGTAGCGCACATAAAACGAAATGAATTGAAATGCAGAATTGCCGGGGGGTTGAAAAGACTCGATAATATATTTTTGGCTAAGGTGGAAATTGGGAGTTTATTTTTGAAGGACAAACGGATGATGAAAATAATGCAAGCTCATTGCTGGAATTTCTAGGAAATTTCTGTGAAATTTCTATGAAATTTCCAAAATGCAAAAACGTTCCCGTTTGGTCATAGATTTGTTAGCCCTTCCTTGCAATTTGTGTGGTGGTGTTTGCCAGATTAGCAGGAATCTCCCCCCTCCAACTGGGTTCCTAATGTCCCTATCTACCTACACCTACCTACCCAGTGTGTTTGCTTGTGCTTTTATGTGTGGGTGATGTTCGTGACTGGCCCTGAATGCACTGGCTCACCTGCTCTCCAGGTAAAACCAGGCAAAACAGCTAGCTGCTACCCACCGCCCAAGCATTCAGCCAGGTGCAGCACTAAAATTGAAAAGCATAAATACTTGTGTACATGTACTATAAACATAAAGCCCCCCAGTATATAGAGAAGGGCTCCTCCTCCTGGAAAAAGGGCCACAAAATGTGGGGATGTATGCTCCGCTCCTCCTTTCCCACATACGAATACGAGTATCCTCTCAATTTTTACCTCATTTCTGTTTAATTTGGTGGTTTCACCAGAGGGTCTTTAAAAATAGATGGGTAGTAAAACAAAATATTATATTGATTGTTTATCTTCAACTGGTAATCCATTTGATGTTGAGCTGTCACATAATAAGGATTCATCTTCGTATCAATAGCGGTTTCAGATGAGTCTTGAAAATACATCGACACAAAAAAACACGTCGCGGTTAAATCGATATGCGCATGGTAAATTTCTGGCATATCGGAGATTCTCTGACTTCGATAAAGAAAGGAAGCAGCAATGTGATAATTTAATTTACGTGAGTGCGATCGAGAAATACACTCTCAATTCGAAATAGAGCGAGATAGCGCTTAAAATTACACGAGTGTTGTTTACATTTCCAGCATATCAAGTCAAATTTGATACCACGTAACGTAAAATCGATCATCGTTTCATATCAAGTTTTTTTTGGGTACACTGATCATGATAAACCATTATTATATAAATGGTTTAATAATAGGCTTATAAGGAATTTGCCATCATGTCATAAGCGTCGAAACGGAACGAGATGGAATGTAACAAAGGACAGCAACAATTGGCCAAAGCAACAGGCAAAACACAACAACAACAATGGTCACAACAAACAAAGACAAACAACTGAATTCGAATTCCTCCAGGGGGCTTCCCTCCAAATAAATTTCCTTTCCTCTGTTTTCTCGGTTTTTTGGGATCTGGTCGGGCGAATGCTAATGAATCGGGGCCGGTGGGCCTTTCAGCATTATATATACATGTATAGAGGGGGTGGTGTTGTATGCGGCAGTGGAAATCTGATGAAAAACAAATAAACAATCAGAACCAAGGAAAGCAAGGCAAGGCGAAATGAAATGAAATGTCACAAAAGAAACAAAGGAGGGTGGGGTGTGCTTTTTTTGTTTTTCGGGTAAGGATGAGCAGCAGTAGACAAATAAATGACGAAACAATGACAATGAAGAACGGACCTCGAAAATTCAAAGATCTTTTGCTCGGTTTATTGACTCACTGTTGTTTTTGCTTATAAATAGAGCCCCCTTTAAGTCCTATAAAATCCTAAATAGCTCTCAAAGCCATTTGGTGTTCAGATTGAAAATAAACAAAAATAGAAACAAGAAAAACAAGCGATGAACGAAAATGGATTTAAGCGAGACTTCAAATTGGCAAAAATATCTTTTGATGATTTTAAATTTCAAGGTGAATTTCAAAGGAGGTCAGCCTATATTTTTATATATCATATCACCCCCCGTGGATCATGATTTTTTGCGAAAAATGGGCAAAAAATAAAATGTCCCGGTTTAAATGCCAATCGATTAAAAATTTTATAACGAGTTCAGAAATGTATGAAAGGTATGACAATCCTTACTTTAAATCAGTATTTGCTTTGTTTTAGCGAAAAAACCGGTTTTTTTTTTTTTTTTTTTGGAAATTCGTGATT